CGATTTGGGGACCAGCTGGTGGGTGGACATTTTCCCTGGTTGGCGGCAGCTAGTCAGGCCCCACGCAGGGGGGCGGGGAGTGGGGCGACGAGTCAGTCCTATCCGAGCAGCGGGGCCAGGAGCCAGGGAGGGGCAGTCCTCCAGAGGAAACTTCCGCCAGTCTGGATTCCAACGCAGAGTGAGCCTGCAGCACAGAGTAGGACTGCCCCGGAGGGCTCCCAAGGCCACCCCGTTCTCCCTCTGAGCGGCTGTTGGGCACAAGCTGCTGGTCTTCCAGTGAGCAGCAGAGGGCCGACCCACTGGACCCTCTGGCCACCTGCCTCCAAAGGGAATGAATGGGAGCTTTCTTGCCATAAAGGAGCACCCCTGGTTGGCGTGTGAAGGTCACTCGCTCAGTTGCTGATCAAAAGGGTGCCAGCTCAAGCCCCACACAGTTGTCTCCAAAGGAACTCCCGACGACCGTGTCCAGGAATCAGTGCCCCACCCCCCACTACACATGATTATAGACCCTCCGTGCCTTCTTTTGGACGAATGTTCGTATCGATCAGACGCCAAGGCTCCAACCATGTTCCCGGGTTCGTTGCTCCCACCAGGCACTGACCGCTAAGGGCAGAAGAGCGGCCCAGCCTGGGCAGAGACGGTGGGAGACATGGTACTGGAACACCTTGCGGCCGACGGTAAACGCCCTTCACCACCCTGCAGACCGGCCTTCTCTCCAGAGGACGCCTGGAGGTGGGTGGGGTGAGGTTCCACCGCGTGCCCATGTACCACACCGACCTCAAGTCCCACAGAACGGAAGACTGCCCGGGCCTGCCCCATCCTCACACCCACGACTCCACTCAGACCCCGTGTGACAGCCCGTGTGTCGCCCCGCCACGCTGAGTCTCCCTCTTATTCACTGCCCCTCGACTTTGCCAAGAGTGACGTCTTTCTCCAGAGACTGGTCCCTCCTGAGAGCACGTCCAAAGCATCTCGAGGAAATCTTGCCACCCTTGCGTCTAAGGAGCATCCGACTCTACTTCTTCCAAGACAGATTCGTTCATTCTTCCCACCGTCCACGACGTACTCAAAGCTCTTCCCCGACACCCCATGCAAATGCATAGATTCTTCCCTAGGTCTCTTTATTCGATGAAAGAATGTTTTCACAGGCATATGAGGCCATTGAGAACAGCACAGCTTGCCTTATAACATGCGAAGAAATAGATGTGGTCGTTAAAAAAAAAAACACACACCAAAAACTCCCAACATAGAAAAGTCTAAGACCAGATGGTTTTTACCGGGGAATTTTAACAAGCATTTAGAGAAGAGTTCACACCAACCCTACATGAACTATTTCACAATAGACAAATGGTCAATAGATTACTAAACTCATTTTATGAAGCAAGTCTAACCCTGATACCTAAGCAGGGCAAAGACATCACAAGGACTGGAAATTATAGACCGGCATCTCTGATCAATATAGATGCCACAATTGTCAACACAATTCTAGTCAATGGAATTCAATAAAATATCAACAATTAATACATCACGATCAAGTGGGATTCATACCAGATATGCAAGGGAAGTTTAAGGTTAGAAAAGCAATCAATGTAATTCATCACATAAAAAAAATACAGGATAAGAGCCATATGGTCGTATCAATCCATACAGGAAAAGGCATTTGATAAAATCAACATCCATTACTTTTCATGAAAACAATAAAAATAGGAGAGAAGGGAAATTCCTCAACGTCATCCAGGCCACATACGTGACGCCAATGACTAGCATGTCACTGCATGGAGAGAGACTCGAACAGGAACCTGGCAGTGCTTCCCCTTGTCACCACGTTCATATGGTGCAGTCCTGGGAGCCTTAGCTAGAGCGAGAAGACATCCACGCTGGCACAGAAGAAACAAAACTCTCTATTTTCAGACAATATAATCCTAGGTAGAGAAGACCCAAAGAGTCCATTAAACAATTGCTAGAACAATTGAGAAATTTGGCAATGTCGCAGGCAATAAGATCAGCACACAGAAATCATTTGGATTCTTGTACATTCAAGAATCCTCGTACCAAAAAGGAAATGAAAATAATAACTACCCAAAAGATAAGGTATCCAGGAATAAATCTTACCAGAAAAACAAAAGACTCATACAAAGAAAGCTATAAATTACTCCTGCGAGAAGCCAAGAGAGAGGTACACGCATGGAACAATGTTCGGTGCTCCTGGATAGGAAGACTAACTATAATGAGAATGTAATTCCTATCCAAGTGCCAGCATAATTCTTCAAAGAAATGGGCAAACTAACACCCAATTTCATATGGAAAGGAAAGAAACCAAGGATAAGCAAAACATAATTGAAAAATAAAGACAAAAGAGGAGGCTTTTCACTCCCAGGCTCTTTTTTCCTTTAAAAAATCATTTTGTTGGGGGTTCGTACAACTTCTTATCACAATCCATGCATCCATCCATGGGGTCAAGCACATTTGTACGTTTGTTGCCCTCATCATTCTCAAAAGATTTGCTTTCTACTTGAGCCCTTGGTATCAGCTCCTCATTTTTTCCCCTCGCTCCCCACACCCCTCCCTCATGGACCCTTGATAATTTATAAATTATTATTATTTTGCCATGTCTTACACTGTCCAACGCCTCTCTTCACCCACTTTTCTGCTATTTGTCTCCCAGGGAAGGGGTAACATGGAGATCCTTGCGATTGGTTCCCCCTTTCTACCGTAGCTTCCCCTTACCCTCCTTTCTCATTATTGGTCCTGAGGGCTTCATCTGTCCTGGATTCCCTGTGTTTCCAGCTCTTATCTGTACCAGTGTATATGCTCTGGTCTAGCCGGATTTGTAAGGTAGAATTTACTATATAGCCACTGTAATCACAACAGCACTTCCATTAAGTGAGATGCTAGCCTTGGGTTTAACACGTGGCCTTTGTTATATCGAGGAATTTCCCACCTATTCCTATTTTTATCATTTTCATTTTAAAAAATGAATGTCGAGTTTTATCAAATGCCTTTTTTCCCTGCATTGATCGATATGATCGTATGGTTTTTATCCTTTATAAGAACTGTTTGGCACAAAATAAGTTGGTACTGATACAATGATAGACACAAAGACCAAGGGATTAGACTTGAGAACCCAGAAATACAGCCAAGGACCTAGGGACACCTGGTCTTTGATCAAAGACTAAAACACACTAAGTAGGTAGGAGATAGCCTTTTCAGTGAATGGTGCTAGGAACACGGATCTCCACCTGCAAGAGCATTAAACAGGACAAACACCTCAGACCACGCACAAAAGTGAATCCAAGATAGATTAAAAGCCAAAGCCACACTCTGGAACCACAAAGACCTTTAATCAAAAAAATATAGGGATGAACTTAAGGGTCCTAATACAAAGCATAACTACCTAGTTAATACTATATGATGCTATGTGAAATATACCATATGAAAAATACTCACACTACCTCATAGAGACTCATAATGGCCTTTTAGGATCAGGCAGAACTGCCCCTGTGGGTTCCTAAGACCCAGTAACTCTTTCTGGGAGCAGAGAGCTCCCTTGGAACAGCTGGTGGTTTTGAACCTCTGACCATTTGGATCACAGCCGAATGCATAACCACTCTGCCACCAGTGCTCCTACCCACACTATGGAAGACAAAATAGGGTGCTGGGACCTTCTAAAAATACCACGTTATACACATCAAAGGAAACGAAAGGCGACCTGCAGGTTGGGAAAACGTGTTTGGCAATGATACATCAGACAAAGGACTCACTCCAGAAATCTATCGAAATCCACAGCACTTTAATAAGAAAGATCCAAGTAACTCAATAAAGAAAGGAGCACAAGATATGAGTAGACAATTTGTTAAAGATGACACCCAGGTGGTTATCAATCACATGAAGCAATGCTCACGTGCACTAGCAATAAGAGAAATACCAATTAAAACAGCAATAAGACATCACCTCACACTGACACTCTTAGGAACATTTTTTTTAGCAACAGAAAATAGTAAATACTGAAGAGGATGTGGAGAGGAACACTCACCCATTGCTGGTGGAGTCGTAGAACCGCATGACCCCTGTGGAACTCAGTGTGCTGCGTCCTTAAACAAGTGCAGACGCAAATACCTTATGCTCCTGTAATCCCGCTACTTGGTATATGCCTAGAGAACTACAGAACAAAACCTGCAAAGACAGCAATTTCTATAATAGCAAAAAAGAGGAAGCGACCAACTATAGAGGAATGGATAAACAAGCCGGGTGCATTCAGGCAGTGGAATATTACGCATCACTAAACAATGCTAAGGTGTTGAACACCCAAGGACAAAACAATTAGATAACATTATGCTTAGCAACGTTAGTCAAGCTCATCAAGATAATTATAACACCACTACTCTAAAGAAAAATGGTTTTCACACCAAAAGATAAGACTTCAAAGCAGCGGTTCTCAACCTGTGGGTCGCTGCCCCTTTGGGGGTCCTCTAAGACCATCAGAAAACACATATTTCCGATGGTCGGAGACACGGCTCCTCTATCCGTCTGCAGGCAGGTCCGCCCACATGCAGCTACGCCCGCCTGCGAGGACCCGGCGTGAAGACTGTGACCAAGATACAATTTCATTGATTTGTAATTAGAAATAGATATTTCACAATCGATCATGACATATTGTTTTTGTGATGAATCACAGTTTGTAACAATGAAAATACATCCTCCCTATCAGATATTACATGACGATTACATAACAGTAGCAAAATGACAGCTATGCAGTAGCAACGAAAATAACTGTATGGTTGGGGGTCACCACCACATGAGGGACTGTACTCAAGGGTGGCGGCAGGAGGAAGTCTGAGAGCCACTGCTTTAAAGACGGTGAGGAGGCCATGGGTGGGGCAGGGGTGGAGAGAGGGAAGGGACTGGAGGGAGTGGGGGGGGGGAACGAACCACAAATATGGGGTTCAGGGGTTAATGGGATGCTATTACTGATTTGATCTGATGAGAATATGTTTTCCTTTCTCGGGAGAGCGCGAACGCAGTCCCCCAGGACCGCAAATGATGCAGCCGAAGTGTCCCACCTTTGGGGAAATCGCAGGGGTCAGCACGTCCGGAGTGCAATGCATGAGCCTCGCCCTGGGAAACCACCTTCGTGTGATTATGGGGTCTCCCCTGCCAGGGAAGTATTGAATATGTTTTTCTTTGTAACTATTATACTCCCCAAACAAAAGGGAAACGGGGGTGGGGGGGGGGGGTGTGTGTGTGTGTGTGTGTGTGTGTGTGTGTGTGTGTGTGTGTTAAGAGAGAGAGAGCGCGGAGTCACAGCCTTAAAAACCCTCCACACTTGTTCCCCAAAAGAAAGAATGTATGAGGCTCAGGTCAGGCACCCCTTAACTCTTAAAGTGGCATCTTTGCCTCTTCAATGCTTTGAAAGGGTCTTTTGCAGTAGATTTACACAGGGCGATACACTAGTATTTGATTTCTTAACGACACTGCTTCCATGGGCATGGATTGTGGAGCCAAATAAGTTGAACCCCTTGACCACTTCAGACTTCTTTCCATTAATCACGATGCTGTGTCTTGGTACAGTTGTGAGACAGTTATTTTCTTTATATTGAGGCCCAATTCATACTCAAGACTGCAGTCTTTGATCCTCCTCAGTGAGTGCGTTAAAGCCTCTTTCAGCAAGCAAGGTCGTGTGATTTGCATATCACACCTTACTAATGAGCCTTCCTCAATCCTGGCAGAAGCCCTGGTGGTGTTGTGGGTTAGGTGTTGGGCTGCTA